AGTCGTATTCTTCAAGGATTATGTCTATTGTTATCTTTATTTTTGCATTAATTTTGTTTCTGGAAAATTGTCCCCAAATGGTAATTTGGATAGTAACCCTCTATGCATGTAATTTCTTGTGCTATTTTTAGTATTTTAATGGTTGCAGGTGCCAGAGTCATCCTTGCTTGCAGAGATATGGCAAAAGCAGAAAAGGCAGCCCATGAAATCCGGATCCAGACGGGAAACCAAGAGGTTACAGCAAAAAAACTAGACTTGGCAGACACCAAATCTATCAGAGAATTTGCCAGTAATTTCTTGAAAGGTATGTCTCAGGCACATTGTTTTCTCGGGGTGTGTGTGTGTGCGGGTGTGTGTGTGTGTGCGTGTGTGCGTGTGTGTGTGTTACCTTGGGCAAATGATACCTGATTATATTTGCCTAAAAATCCAGTAGACATGATAAAATTCAGGCATGCTTTTTATTTATTATGTATTTATTAAATGCATATATGCTGCCCATCTCGCTATCCAGAGCAACTCTGGGTGGCTTAAAGACAGAAATATAAAAACAATTCTAAATACCAAAACAGGTTAAAAACAGTTTTGGTTTTTGAAAACAACATTAACATGTCTACCGAGTCTAAAATTAGACCTCTGCCGGCATAACAATACTTCAACTAGTAGGATTGCCAAAGCAACCCTAAAGGAAGTACTGTACTGAATGAAACAGAAGAGGAGTTGCTGCTTCCGGTCCTGCTTTCTGGAGTGATTTTGTAGGACCAAATTTTACCTTGTCAAAATGTTCATGGGAAAATCTGAAAGAAATTGAACTGTGACTATGTTTCCATGACTCCAGTTCCAGTATTTTTTTATCTTGGGATTCTTTATTCATATGACCTACGTGGGGGTTTTTTTCTTGCAGAGGAGAAAGAACTCAACATACTCATCAACAATGCAGGGGTTATGATGTGCCCCTATTCAAAGACAGCTGATGGTTTTGAGACGCATTTTGGAGTCAACCATCTTGGTAAAGTTGCTGAATTTCATCTCTTTGATCATTTTTTCTCTTAGAAATATTTATTTAAGCCTTTCCCCCCCACCCCCTTTTGTCTTAAAGTGCTATGAGAAGTTAGAGTTTTGGGCCGCACATAAAGATTGGAAAGATTTGTGTGCTTCTGCACGTGGACGCGTGCAGGGAGGATAAACAAGAAAACGAGTGTTGCGATGTTGCAATGCTAGGTCTGCCTCTTTTATATAACAATTGCAATGTTGCACCCACATATGTAAAAGACTGAGCTTACATTGCAATATTCCTTTTATCTTTATGAAATGGTTGAACTCTGCAGAGGCTTTTCACAAGATTGTACTTGTTATATAGAGGAACAGATTTTCCTTAAGGCTCTGTGAGCCCTGATTGAGATAAGAGTTATTGCTTCTCATTTATTTAAATTAATGGTAATCACATTATCCTAATTATTCTCAAGGAAATTACTATTTTTCTTGATGACACTGTGAATTTTTATTTTATTTTCAAAACAAACACAACACATAAAATCTTCCTTTTTTACATACTGTAGAAAGTGTATCAGTTGGTTACAAAAAACTTCCACAGTCATCAAGCATAATTCATATTAACTCAAGTATTTTAACTCAGATATTTAAACATGTTACCATCATCATACCTCCATTTTCATTTGATTATAGTTGTTTAAACGTCCTTCATCATAAAATATACCAAGGTTTAATACATA